AGAACAACGCCTTATTGCTTATCCAGTCAGCTTGGTTCAGTTGGTAGCGGAGGTTAGAGATGTGGTGCCCAAAGACTCACGGCAGCCATGGTGACCTGGATAGGGGGTTAGGGACGAAGTTTAAGGCCCAGCCGGGAGACGAGCAGAGCAGAGCAGGGGAGTGGGGGCAGGAGGCGATCAGAGAGATAAGGAGATCAGAGACTTGCTCTCGGAGAATTGACTAAATTCACCAACTGACAAGCAGCTTTGGGATTTGGCAAAGCTGACCTTGCAGTCAGATGTCAAATGTTGACTATATAAATGTCACTTTTATAGCACTGCTTAACATGTCTTTTTTGTGCCTGGTCTGATCGGCCAAGTAGCTTTGGCCCTCTCCTCCCAGTGTCCTGGCTAACAATTCCCCCACCCTACCCCACCCCACCTCATCCCCACCCTCCCCCCCAAAAAATAATAATCAATTGGTCATTCACTTCCTGGCTGTTTGTGGGATGTTGCTCTGGGCAAATGGGCTGCCACCTGCACCCACAAATACACAGTAAATCCTGAGAAGAGCTTTAAGTTGTCCACCTGACGTGAAAGGTTTGTAACAAATGCGATGATTGTATTCTTCTAATCAGAGCTTCAATTCTCAATGGTCGGTCTGAAGGCTTGCTCCCTTAATTGCCTTTCCTGACACTTGACATGTTCCCAATGGACAATCTGAGCCAATGTGTAGACATAATCTCTTCCTGATGTTTCAACAGCTGGGGGAGGAGGGCGAGAGATGGGGAGGGAGGAGAGAGGTAGGGAGGGAGGGAGGGAGGATGGGGGGAGTCAGGAGAAAATAGAGTTAAAAGAGTTGAAGAACGCATGAGTGAAAGTAATTGGTAGAAATGTCATAAATGCTGAAGTTAGTGGAAACAAGTGGTAATCTGGAGACTGACCAACTGCTCTCGGGATGTCAGGACAGCAATTCTGAACGCCCAGCCTTCCTGCTGAGATGGAGACTTCAATTTACTGAGCTCGTGGTATTCCCTGGTTGCTCTCCCTCCGCAGGCCAAGAGACCCCTCCTCTCTCCCACCCCCCTCAGGTTTAAAGGTGTCTGCACTCAGCAATGACACATGTTGTTAACGGTCAATAAAGCACACCCTGGGGGTCACTGGGGGGAAGAGGAGAGCCGGGGTCAGGGTTTAGCTGACCTGACGAGGTTTGTGACGGGTTCTGCAAAGATTCCGGAATATTCCACTCAAAATTTGTCTGCTGGTAACGCCTCTTATGGGTAAAACTGATTGATACACAGAGTCAGCGTCAGAATCAGGGTCAGGGTCAATGTCAATGTTAATGTCAACTCACTCCTTCCCTCACTCACTCGCTCACTCACTCGCTCACTCACTCGCTCACTCACTCCCTCCTTCACTCCCTCCCTCTCACTCCCTCACTCCCTCTCTCCCACTCCCCCCCACTCACTCCCTCCCTCCCTCATTCACTCACTCACTCGTTTCTGCTTCCAACAATCACCAGTTTTGCCTGAGTGCACGTTTGCGTGAGTGTGTGTGCATGTACGTATATGTGCGCATGTGTGTGAGGAATCATGTGTATGCTCGGAGGCGTGTACATGGGTGCACGTTACATGTGGTGGGGACGCGTATGGGGTGGGGGGTGGGGAGGGGCTCGGGGTGATGTTTTGCAGCATTGCCGAGTGGATGGTGAGATGGTGAGTTGTGGGGGGTGACAGGTAGGCTCTGGGATTGAGCTGCTTATGATTTCCCAATCCTATTACAACCCACAGTGTTCACTGTAGACGAACTGATGGCTCCAACAATAACAGTCCATCTTCGCTCGCACCGACTGCAGAATTGGGCTTAACCCTTTTAACGCTGGCTCCTCTTTTACAGGCTTTCAACACCTGTGCGTGTATGTGTGTGTGTGTGTATGTGTGTGTATATATGTGCGTGTGTATGTATGTATGTGTGTGTGTGTATAAGTAATCCCACCAGAACAGTCTCCGTTCAGTTTATTTCCGATGCTAATAGCTGTGGTGTAGATAAGCGAGGGCACTTCGGTCTGGAAGAGAGGTGTCTTAGAGAGGATGATGCCTCCACTGCTTCCTGTTTGTCTGTATGTTTTATTAATCTCACTTTCCAGCTCTCTCCTCGTGTCTCTTAATGTTTTTTTTATTACGGCTCGGTACTTATACAGGGCCCTTTCAGGTCGGGAGGACGTCTTAAAGGCTCTTGTCATACTTACATAATTGGATTGTTTGGGTTGTCTGATTCAATAAGCCTGAAATTAGCCGGTGAGACCATTTGGTCTTAAAATTTAAGGTAGTGCAGAATTGTGGAAAAGTTCTTGGCTTGTGTTTTGGTTTGGGTTTGGGAGCTGGCTTTGCTCTGTGAGCGAGCGGGCTGGCTTTCAGCTCTGTTGCCTCCCCTCTCCCGAACTCCATCCTGGAATCCCTCCGACTCGCGCCCTATCTCCCTCCGCTCGTTCAAGGCCTGTCTCAACACATACCTCATCTTTCCCCACCCACCGACTCAGCTCCCACCACTCTCCAGCTCCCAACACCACCCCCTTAGCTTCCACTCCACACCCCCCCCACAGCTCAGGTGCCCAGCCAGTGATGTCAAGCGCTTTGAGATATCTTCCCGATATAAATGGCGCTGTATAAATGTTAATCGTATTCTACTGTATTGAAATTCAGAGAGGAGCTGTAGTCAAATTGGCCCACTCTGTGCCTATAATAAAAAATCATCCTGGCATTTGACACAGCACCTCATCACGTCATCGAGACGTCTCAAAGCGCTTCGCAGGATACGCTGTAAAGTGAGCTGACTGTGTATTTTGTGGGCGAAACGACAAGATTGCTTGTCAATCTCTTATTCCACATTCAGGGTAGAAAATTGATTATTATTTGCATAGAGAGTGCGGGTACTTCCGAGATTTGAATGCTGTGGTCTATGGAGCATGTTAATTGGCGTGCGGCAGACTGGCTTACTTCAGTGAGCCTGTGTGGCATTGTGTGATGAGCAGAGAGACCTGTTTTTGTTCATCTTCCACTTGACACCATGTTTGATCTCAGTACAAGGGTTAATTAATGTTTATCTTTCTGTGTCACTCTTTCCCATTCTTCAGATTGAATTGACGATTGATTTAAACGGCTATAACGTTCAAACCTTTCATTTGCGATTCATATGCTGCGTGCTCCCTGCGCTCTCCAACACTCTCCCCAAATCCCTGTCTGCGTCTCGCATTTTCCCTCTCTGCCTTCAAAAATAAATGAATAATCCTTGTGTTTGATATTCTAATAATAATAATAACTCTTGCATTTGATATAGTGCCTTATCGCGGGGTTGAGACGTCTCAGTTGTTCATTGATTGGTGCATCGCTTTCCGGGGGCGGGGAATGGGGGTGTAATAATCCCCCACCCCCCTAAAAAGGGTAGTCACTCAATGCATGACTGTTTGGGGGACACTGGTGTGCGCAATTGGCTGCCGCTTTCCACCCACAAAACACACAGTCACTCCACTACACTGTACAGTATGTTCTACGAAGCACTTTGAGACGTCTTAAAGATGAAACGCACGAAGGGCGTCGTGTAAGTGCAGTTTATTGTACAGTCAAATTCACGGCACTTTGCATATGACCGGCCTGAGGGCTGTACTCATCTTAACGAGCTCCGACTGACTCCTCACCTTACAATTACATCGTAAGCGTTCTCCCGCGTGGGGAGCAAGGATCGAATCGAGAGGCAATCAGGAACAACGGGGAGGAGCGAGCGGTGACGTCCATTCCTGAGTGGTCCACCCATTCACGGCCAGCGGTCTCCCCCCCTTTTCTCTCCTCTCCGCGAGTGTGTTTGGCTCGCTCAAGGTGAACGGTCGCGGACGATCTACTGCTCCGACCCTGTACTGGGAGCACCGTCCCTGACCGGCCGCGCGTCCGCAGTTCCGATCGTGGGGGCTGTGAACCCACAAACCTCCGCGATCGGAAGCGAGGGCGCAATCAGCCGAGACGGTTCGTCGCGATCATAATCCTGACGTTTGATACAACAACGACAACAACGACGACGACGCCGACCACGACCACAACAACAATCCTTGCACGCGACCCGGCCCCTCACCACCCCACCTCGTTGAGACGCCTCAAAGCGCTTCGCAGGACACGCCGTAAAGGGTAGTGACTGTCTTAATCGAACGAAGACTCCGAATCCCAATGTGTCATTGGGGATCATCCCAACCTGGAAGGGGGGAGTGGGAATCTGGGAGGAGGGGGGGGGGGGAGTTCACGCCCCGCCCTCTTTGTGGTCCAATGGAATGGGAGGGAGGAGTCGCCTGCCTGGCCACGCCCCGTATCCCTGCTGGACCAATGGGAAGGGCTGGGTTCCCAGCTCAGCTGGCGGGACCCTCTGGTTGACTTTAATGAATGAAACGAACGTGGCATCTCAGGGCTGTGATGTAGAGGGAGAGGGAGGAGGAGAGAGGGAGAGGGAGAGGGAGGGAGGGAGGGAGAGGGGCTTCTTCTTCTTTAATGCACCGTCTTCTCACAGCAGCCCCGCCAGCCTGAGGGACAACTACACAACCACAGACAGAGAGGGAGGGGGAGAGGGACAGAGAGAGACACGGGGAGAGGGAGGGGGAGAGGGACAGAGAGAGAGACACCATGGGGAGAGGGACAGAGAGAGAGAGACACCATGGGGAGAGGGACAGAGAGAGAGAGACACCATGGGGAGAGGGAGGGGGAGAGGGACAGAGAGAGACACGGGGAGAGGGAGGGGGAGAGGAGCTTTCAGCCCCTACCAAGCGGGGAGGGGGGGGGAGAGGGGGCGAGAAAATATATAACTCCAAGTTGCTCCGCAAGCGATGCTTTACACACATATAGATACAGAGAGAGAGACGTAGATATATATATATAATATATATATATATATAACACAGACAGACGGATATTGTGAAGACTTATTGACCACTGGAGAGGGTTTGTGCCGCTCTTTGGCTCTCGGGCTCCTGTGGTGATGGAATGATGCGAGAGCTGCGGACGGCTCTGCGGGTACCCGGCGATGGCCACACACTGACCCCCGGAGAATGGCCGGAGATGGAGCAGAGGGTGGACATGGACAACAACAACAACAACAACAACAACCACGAGAAGCAGCAACAACAACAACAGCAGCAGCAGCAGCAGCAGAGGGATGGCGAGTGGCAATAGACACCCCGCCCAGCACCACACCAGCCGGGCATCCCACCCCCACAACAACAACAACAACAACAACAACAACAGCCCTCTTCTTCCCACTGCTGCTGCCGCTCCCGGTCGGGCTGTGTGCGGGGGGCGGGGGCGGGGGCGGGGGGGGGTCTGTGTGGCCGCCCAAACTCCTGGTCATGTTGAGTCTGTTCACAGTGTGGGCTCTGGGCTTGTACCTGCTGTGTGCGGGGTGTTGGTGCTGCTGCCACCCCGACCCCAACCACAGCCCCGACCCCAACCACAGCCCCGACCCCAACCACAGCCACAGCCCCGACCCCAACCACAGCCCCGACCCCAACCACAGCCCCGACCCCAACCACAGCCACAGCCCCGACCCCAACCACAGCCACAGCCACAGCCCCGACCCCAACCACAGCCACAGCCACAGCCCCAACCCCAACCACAGCCAGAGACCCCCAGCCCTGGCCCAGATCCCCCAACCCCAAACCCAACCCCAAACCCGATCCCAAACCCGACCCCAAAGCCAACCCCAACCCCAACCCAGCCACAGCCCCCAGCCCAGATCCCCCAACGCCGACCCCAAACCCAACCACAAACCCGACCCCAAAGCCAACCCCAACCCCGACCCCAACCCAGCCAGAGCCCCCCAGCCCCAGCCCAGATACCCCGCCCCCAGCCCCCGCCGCCCCCCCAGCACAGCCCAGACGCTGCCAGGACCGAGGACGGTGCCTCCAGCGGCTCCTACACGCACCCACTGCCCCCCGAGGGCGGGGAGCCCGGGCAGGGCAGCGGGGAGCCCGGGACACCCTGGGCCACCAGAGCCGGGAGGGGGGCCCCGGGGGGGGCCCGGGGGGGTGGAGCGCCCTCCGCCGCCTGCCACAGGCTCTGATTGTCGGCGTGAAGAAGGGGGGGACACGGGCGCTGCTCGAGTTCATGCGGCTCCACCCGACAGTCAGGGCGGTGGGGGCAGAGCCGCACTTCTTCGACCGACATTACAGCAAAGGGCTACTGTGGTACAGGTCAGTGAGGGGCGGGCGGGGGGGCTGGGGCTGGTGGAGGGGGCGGGGGGGGGGGGGCTGGGGCTGGGGGGGGGCTGGGGGGGCTGGGGCTGGGGGGGGGCTGGGGTAGTTGGGGTAGTTGGGTTGGGGGAGTTGGGGTAGTTGGGTTGGGGTAGTTGGGGTAGTTGGGGGGTCTGGGGGGGCTGGGGTAGCTGGGGCGGGGGGGGTGCAAGGGCACAGGGAGACTGGGAGAGGGGATGGGGGATACAGGGATGGGGGGGGACTGGGACACAGAGAGGGGCTGAGGCTGGGATGGGGCGGGGGGGGGGGTGGGGCTGTGTTTGGGGGATGTGTTTGAGGGGTGGGGGCTGTGTTTGGGGTTTGGGCTGGGGGGGCTGTGTTTGTGGGCTGTGTTTGGGGGGTGGGGTGGGGGGGCTGTGTTTGGGGGTGGGGTGGGGGGGCTGTGTTTGGGGGGGTGGGGTGGGGGGCTGTGTTTGGGGGTGGGGTGGGGGCTGTCTTTGGGGGGTGGGGTGGGGGGCTGTGTTTGGGGGGTGGGGTGGGGGGGGGCTGTATTTAGGGGTTGGTGACTGGTACTGTAACACTCTTCAGAAAGACTGTAGTGACTGTCCTCAGCTGCGTGTCACATTACAGAGAGACAGAGACACTCACACAGGAGCACTGACTTGTGTTGGGGAAAGAAATCCCAATCTCCCACTGTGCGGTGACTGATGACACTGAGGACTAATGCACATATTAATCTGAACTAACTTTATAACTGGGAATGTATGATGTGTCCGCCTGTCAATCAATCAATCAATCAGCCAATCAATCAATCAATTAATCCATTCTCTGTGTTTATCTGCACTTAACTATCTGTTATCGAAGTCTGTATCGTGTATTAATCTGTTTGGTGTATAAACACTGAGCAGTTTTATTATCCCAGTTACCCTCTGTCTCTGACTCACTCAATCTCTCTGTCACTCACCTCACTCTCATCTATCACACGCACTCACTCTCTCTCACTTACTCTTTCACTTTCTCTGACCTCTCTATCTCTATCCACAAATATACAGTCAATTCACTTTACAGTATATTCTGCGAAGCGCTTTGGGACGTCGAGAAGACGTGAAAAGCGCTATATCGAATGCAAGGATTATTATTATTATTATTATTTATCGGTCTGTCTTGTCTGTCTGTCTGCCTAATCTGGATCCTTAACATATAATATGGTCAACGTGGGTTTAAATTCATTTAATCTAGTATTTTTTGGGGGTCTAAATCAATCCTACAATTCTTATATTAAATAACATTAGCTTTGAGACATGCAGTAGAATTAACTGTTGGGAAGCTTGTTAAAAGCGGTTGCTCGGATGGACGTGAATGATCAGAAGCACGTTAATATTTTATTGGCGTTTATGTGATATATGGGTCATTGATTCCGATCCTGGCTGCACGAAAAAATATCGGGGGAAAACGAAAGCGTGTGGGCTTCGATTTATCATCTTTATTTTGTCGAGCGTCCCGATCGATGCCGGAAAATGGTAATTGGCTTCGTTGGGGAAAAGAAAATGTTCGTCAATTAAAATTACATCGACAACTGCGTTAACCGTAGCGGTTTGCTGTGAAGTAGCGTGTTGGGAAGTTAACCAGGGCTTTTAACCACACGTTGAATTGACGCTTTCATAACACACGCAAACCCTGAAATTAAACGCAGTAGAACATAGGCAAATCAGCATGCCTCCCTTCCTGAATAAGAATATTTATGCGGATTTGCCGCCTTGCTTAATTTCCTCTTTTATGCTTATGGTAATTTCAGGAAGCACTTTATCAAAGCACCAATTCAACGCCTGTTAAAAGCCTCTGCTTACTTTCGTAAAACACATGTTCATGCAAAATGCGCTGTCAGTGCATTGTGGTCGCTCAGTGTTTCGTTTCCCCTCCTGACCCCGGACTCGGGTTTGTGAAACGTCAGATGTGACTATTTACAGACAATGCTGTCAATAGATGGGATTGTTTTTATAGCTTTTTATCTACAACCTTTTTGACCGCAGCCATAGTCACCACCCCACCCACTCCCACCCCCCCACGTCCTCCTAGCTCGGTGCTGAAGCACTCCCGAGATATTATCCTATGTGAAAGGTGCCATATAAAACACGTTGTGTCTGTGTGCGTGTGTTGTGTGTGCGGGTGTGGGTCTGCGTACATCATGTAGGAGATGCATTAAATGCAGCCAACCACCTGAAAGGGTGGCGGGAGCAGATTCGATAGGTTTCAAAAGGGAATTTATTTGAAAAGGAACACAAGGTGCAGGGCGAGGGTGTAAGAGCGGGCGGAGGAGTGGGGCCAGCTGGGTGGCTCTTTCAATGGAGCTGGCGCCGGCACGACGGGCCGAACGGCCTCCTTCTGTGCCGTGAGCCGCTGCGGTTCAAAGGTGATCCCGGGCAACTGTCGCTCGTACATGTGCCGTTGAGGGAGCTGCGAGCTCCTGCGAAGGGGGTTAAAGTTGCGGCGCCTGTCACTTTAAACGGGGCACAACAGCGCCACCCAATGGTGGTACCCCTTCACCACTCCGCCCGCGGCACTCAGCCCCCCCACTCCACCGCAACGTGGGTCACGAGACAGGTAATTGGTGATGATGATAATAATCCCTTCATTTGATATAACGCCTCATCACGTCACTGAGACGTCCCAAAGCCCCCCACGGACTAGACTGCGAAGTGAACCGACTGTACGCTTCGTGGGCGAAACGAAACCCGGCAGCCAATTTTCGCCCGGGGGTTCGGGGCTCGGGTAGCGCTGTGCGGTTCAGAGGTGCCGTCCTTCGGATGAGACGTTAATAACGCCCGGGTCCTGTCTTCGTTGCGTTCGGTTGCACTATCCCCCGTGACGCTGTCCGAAAAGGGAGCGGAGTCCTGTCCAGCAATCCTCCAGATACATCCGTGTGTCAGCCTGGCTCAGTCAGTCGCTCAGGTGTTAGCCGGTTAGACACACCAGCAGTTACTCCCCATCCGACACTCTGGGGTCCCCCCAAGCCTTGGCTCCCGCCAGCCTGCGGCTAATATTCTCCGGGTGGGGGGAGAGAGTGCGGATTCCATTCTAAACACGGGGAGATTTACAGGCGTAAGTGGTATGCACAGAACTTTCAGTCTAGTTTGGAGACTCTCATTGAAGCACAGGGATAGGTTTCCCTGTGTGTCAAGACACCCATCTGTCCAAGACGAAGAGAAAAATTGATCTCATTTGTTGATGAAGGTTACTCAGGACACTGAGAGAAACCTTTGCACATCTGCAAAATAATGCTGTGGATCTTCAGCACGCACCAGTGCAGGCCAGATGGGGTCTTGACTGTATGTCTTGGCAGGTTTTAGCAGTTACTGGGACAGATGTGCTCTTGTCAGTAATGTACGGTATAAAACTGAGGGTTTGTTGATCTGTAGACCGGAAAGAGGAGCTGCTTTTTATGAGGGCTAGCGGACACGGGAAAGTTATCAAAATAAATGAAGTCAAATTGTCCTCAGATGCAAATCCAGGCCGTTTCCAACAGCCCTCGTGTGCATTTCCTTTAAAAAAAANTGAGCAAATAGTTTAAATTAAACCATAAATAGGGGACCGTGCTTAACCCATGGAAAGACAGGTGTGTTTGCCCCGGAGATTGGGTATTGAGCAAGTTTAATCTGTAAAAAGATTCAAACCGAATGCTTAACCCAGACCTTTTGTGTGTGTGTGCCCGGGGGTGTGAGCGAGGCAACAATAGATTGTTTTTATGCGAAGTTATATCACAGCCCTTCACAATACTTGTATTTCAAAGCACCTGTTTCACACTCAAGGTCAGGACAAGTGGAGGAAATCTTTGGCCTATGGCATTCAGGCATTTAGCGGGAGGCGTCAGAACAGGCAGAGGGGCAAACATATCAAAGCACTGTAAATTGTAGTGACCGTGTATTAGAAGACGGTGGGGGTGGGGGGGCGGAGGGGGAGGGGGCAGCTAATTTGTGTTTCACAAACAGCCATAAAGTGAATGAACAGTTCCATTCTGTCTGGGGTTTCTGGGATCTTGTGAGCAATTGGCTGCTGCATTTTGCCCACAAAGTATACAGTCAATCCACCTAACAAGGTATTCTGCGAAGCGCTTTGAGACGTCTGAACGACGTGATAAGGCGCTGTGTTAAATGCAAGCCCCCACGGTGAGGGGCAGTGTGTGAGGCAGGGAGCCATTTCTGCGCGCGGAGGTTAACACACCTTTTGCGAATGACGCGATTCGATGTTAAAGCTTAAAACGATGACTTGCCGAACTGGCGCAGGGTTGAGAGTGACCGGTGTTGTGTCCGTGTCCTTGAGGTCTTGCACCCGTCTGTGGTTCAGAGCAGTGTAGGATGAGAACTCAACAACTCGCAGTGGGAGCAGCTATTTTTAATGGCACAGTGTGACTGTGCTGCAGAGGAAGTGTCTTTGCTGAATAAGAAACTCGCCCAGATGGTGTCTGACTGCTTTACCCAGCAAGATTGGAGGCTGGCGTGTGTGTGTGTGTGTGTGCGTGTGTGTGCGTGTGTGTGCGCGTGTGTGTGCGTGTGTGTGTAATACTGATCAGAGGCGTACCGAGAAAAACTGTCAATTGGTGGTAATAATAATAAAAATAATAATAGTAATAATAATTCTCGCCTTTGATTGTACACCTCTGACAGCAAACGTCAGAACGAGCTTCACAGGGAATTGCTGCCTAGTGTAGTGACTGTGTATTCTGTAGGCAGACTTGGCAGCCAATTTGCACGCAGCAAGGTCACCCGAACAGCTACCACCTTGCCCCTCCTCCCCCCCCCCACCGCCGCCCTCTCCCGTGTCCCCCAGGTGTGCGCTTTAACACATCTCTCTCGAGTGCGAGTACACTTTTTAACGACTCTTGGTGGGGACGCTGCTGTGTGCAATTGGCTGCCGTGTTTTGACCGCAAGATATCCGGCCACTCCGCTTTACCGCGTATCCTGTGAAGCGCTTCGAGACGTCCGGAGCACGTGACGAGGCGCTG